TGGGGTAGGTGAAGCACCCACACCTGCCCTCACCCTCATTCGTCCCACTCTGGGCCCTTGAGCAAGGCCCTTAACCTCCGCCATCTGTTCTTCCGGGTGTCCTAGATAACAGCTTGCTCCACACAGAGGGTTGTGGTAGCTCAGTGTTCTGTGGTTGCGTCAGGAAGGGGATCCAGTGTAAAAATAACTGCCAAGTCTCAGTGCGACTTAGTTTGCTGTGTCGACCCCTAACGCAGGGAGCAGCCGAAAGAAGAAGAAGAAGAAAGAAGATATATATATATATATATATAAGGTGCTGTTTTTGTATGACAACCCAGTGACCAGGATGCCTGCAGCGCCAGCACAACATTTTGACGTCACGTGCACCATTGAGTTTGGATTTGTGAAAATTTACAAATTTGCACTGTTCCAATGTTGTAGTGTTAAAGAAAGTAAATGTCATGAACAAATTTGACATTAAACATAACCCAAGTTGAAGTGTTGCATCATTTTCAGCCCCCTTTTAGGCATCTGCACTTGGTAGCAGGCCAAATTGTCTAAGACCATGCAGAATAATGTAATATTTTAGTACCACAGCAGAGAAAACTATGTAGTCTCTGTACGTAGGTCTAGGATAAAAATATCCGTATTGGTATTGGTTATGGGGCAGCACGGTGGCGCAACTGGTAGAGCTGCTGCCTCTCAGCGAACAGGTTCCTGGTTCAAACCCCGGTCCAGGAGCCTTTCTGGGTGGAGTTTGCATGTTCTCTCCGTGCATACGTGGGTTTTCTCCGGGTACTCCGGTTTCCTCCCACAGACCAAAAACATGCATGTTAGGCTGACTGGTAACTCTAAATTGTCCCTAGGTGTGAGTGAGAGAGTGAATTGTTGTTTGTCTCTATGTGGCCCTGCGATGGACTTGCGACCCGTCCAGGGTGTACCCCGCCCCTCGCACAGTGATTGCTGGACATGGGCACCATCGACCCCCGTGACCCAAAATGGAACAAACGGGTAAAGATAATGGATGGATGGATGGATGGATGGTATTGGTTATGGGCTAAATAAGTTTTAACATATCGGCATATCAGATATCGGCCAAATATTGTACATCCTTATATGACCCATTTATCAATTTTTGGAGGGGGCCTGGAATGTCATTAGAAAGAAAAGAGAGCAAAGCTAAAGGTGAAACAATCCATTTTTTATGGGCACAATAAACAGCCACTGCATCGCATGAAGCAAGAATTAATAAGAGTTTAGCGGCGCATTTGTGACAAAAATAAAAGAGACAAGCACGGTGAGGTTTCACAAACCACATGTTGGTTTGAATCACTCAGCTCCTGTTTCTGTACATTTCTAGTCTATTTGTAATGATTTATAGTAAAAAGAAAAGCAGCGGTTGGAGGAGGCGTAAAACGTTTTGTGCTGTCCTCACTCTGAGTTTCTTAGAAGCAAAATGTTCAAATCCAAACGTTTCAAGTGTGTAATGATGTAATCTCTTCTATCTGAACAAAGTATGTCCAGTATTGTCATTAGCATGAACCTACGTGATAAAAACATGACTTTGAACATAATGAAGATTAAAATTGATCATTGGGATCAAATATTAACTATTATTACCGTTAATATAGCCTGAAATGAAGATAGGCTGGCTTTTGGGAATGGCAATAATGCAGCTCAGTTACAAAGAAAAAGTTTGATTAAAGGAATGTTTGTATTCTGTGTTATTCATCACTAATATTCCCTCACTATGTTCCTTCAATTCATATATTTTTGTGCTTCTTTTGTACCACTTTATGGACCCGAGATATGAATGTTACTGATTACTCCTCTCTGTTTCTGGATCCTGTTCAGACCGGCCCGGCCTGCTGAACGTGAAACCCATCGAGCAGCTCCAGGAGACTGTGCTTCATTCACTAGAGCTGCAGCTGAAGCTAAGCCACCCAGACTCCCTGCAGCTGTTCGCCAAGCTGCTCCAGAAGATGACGGACCTGCGTCAGATAGTCACCGACCACGTTCACCTTATTGAGCTGCTGAAGAAGACAGAGGTGGACATGTTCTTGCACCCCCTGCTGCAGGAGATCATGAAGGACTTGTATTAGAATTGAAAAGAGGACAAGTGCAGGAATGGGATGACAAAAGAAGAATGGATTACATGAGTGTGTAAGAAAGTATTTCGGCCAGAAAGTCGAAATTGAGAATGACATGAGGAAGAACAACAAAAAAACTAAGAAAATAAATACAGAATTGGAGCTTTTCTAGAGCGTGTGTTTGTGTATTATTTGTAATGCACAGTCGTTTAGCCACTGCTGACCCTGAACTATATGTTGTGAGTAGGGATGCACGATATTGGATATATATATATATATATATGAACAGCACCTTTTGTATTGGTGAGTTATTTTGATAGAATGGCCGATGTCCAATAGTTAACTTTATCGATAATATCGGCCGATACCAGGCCAATAATATTGTGCATCCCTAGTTTGCCAACTTAAATATAAAACTACCACCAACAATAAGGAAGACTGTTGATGACTGAAAGAGAGGGAACTGTCAGTTGTCAAACTCAGTGCACAAACACAAATGCTTCAACACAGACAGCTTTACGTGCCTTACAGAGAAATATATTTCACACCATGTCCTATGCAGCAATGTGTTTCCCTTGTGCAGCTTATCAACACATTTCATTACAGCAGCAGTGTACAGGCAGCAGCAGTGTGTACGTGCATCATTACCTCTGTGAACACGCAAAAATGCATGAATTCTCACACAAGCGCAACACTGTGCACAGTCGTTTTCCTGTTTTAGGATCAAGGTGAAGGTGCTATCTCATTTTAATCAGCAACTTCCAAAAACAGAAATCAGATTATTACCTGTAACTTATTCTAGTCCCACACACGTGTGAGAAACTGTGAGAAAGTGTGGAAAAGACACGTAACAATGTTCACATTATCTCTTCGTCGACAAAGCTGCGTTTGTCATATTTTTCTGTATGACCTGATGTTTAGCTTTTTATATAAAGACAATGTTAGTTTGTTTTTTTGATCAAAAAAAAAGAAACAGACATAAAATGTATAATATGTAATCAGCTCTTTTGTTTCTGTTTGTATGAAATTATTCAACTGAACTTGCCATAGTTTTGTAGTAGACTCAGCAAACTGGTTGAGTTCTAATTTTTACTGTGAAATGTTGTATCTGCAAACGGACGTGCAGATAAACAGACTGGATTGATATGAATGAGGGATAAAAAAGAGAAATTTTACTGTAAATAAAATTTTTCTAACTTTTTTATTTGAAGTCTTGTTTGTTTGCCTAAAGGCATTTGGGTGTGCTTGTGCTATTAGTTATAAAAAATAAAAATTTAAAAAACTGTTCCCAAATAACGTCTCCACTTCAGACATGCCAGTCACTCAGACTCTTGGAAATCTAGTTTTACAGTCATGACATCAGCCGTCCTCTGGGTCTGTTAGCAAATACTCATACACACACCCTGCTGGTGCGATTGCAACATCTGAACTCTGCTGAACTCACCAGAACACCAGAGTCTGGATATAAATTTGTTCAGCAGGAAGAGAAGGAGCTTTACTTTTTTAGAGATTTGTGGGGTCTGTTGGAAATGTTGCTTTTTGCTTCTGTTTGGAGAAAACAATGTTTGGTTTTTTTCATCATAAAAACTTTTGAAAGTTATAGACAGTTTAGGTATTGGAACAGGTTACAGATGAGATTGCGTGCAAAGACAAGGTCAGAGTCACATTTAAACTCAGAACGTTACACTTTAACCCACTGAAACATCAGGTCAGTTACACAAAACCTTCTCACTGGTCATGTTGTTATTCTAACACACACAAGATGCTTAAGGTCAGGAATGTCTACCAATGAGATCAAAATCTATAACTTTTCAATGCGAACGATGAGTTAGACAATAACTTAAGCCAACGAGACACTATTTGATGTACTTTGTATTTTACCTCAAGATCATTTAGTTTGTGCGCAGTGAATAGTTGTGTCTTCTTTAGAATAACTGATCAATTTCTAATTGTTATTAGAAATAATAAGAAATGTGAGATTCATTAATCACGTACTGATCTGACATGACATTGTTTCGTCATGCAACACCTGTATGACAAAACAATAACTGCATATTTATTTTGTGGTCATGCAGTGAGATGTGAGGACCCAAATGCAGGTATGAAGGAGGCAGTTTGAGGATATCAGCAAGACTGTTTTATTACAAAAAGGTACATAAAAAAATAGACTAAACAATTTACAGTATATGAATGTATGCAGACAGTGTAATAGAAAACATTTTGTGAATGTTTTCTAGAAATATCTTGTGATGATTACTAATGGAAGACAAGTGGCTGTAAACAAAGACCACCGAGTGCATCTAGTGGCGGTACTGGTATAAAATGATATCCAAGAACAAAAAACTCAATTAAATATTTAAAAAACGTGCCCTTTCTATACACTGCATGCAACTGTAGTTGATTGTGAGTTAAATTGGGCACCATCATTTTCTATCTCCTGCCTTTTACATAACACACTCAAGAAGAGATTTTACTTTAATGTCCATTTTAATTATGTTTGATAAGCGTCAGATTGAACCAATAGTTTTTCAAGGTCAAGGTTCTTTATTGTCATTCGCATCATATATGGTACATGTGATGGAATGAATCTGTGCACACAGGGTCCCAGTTACATCCAACAAAAGTATAAATTGTAAAAGAAAAACAGTAATAAGATCTAAGATATGAACTAAGAAATACACTAAACTAAGAATATACTAAGCACTAGTACAAAAACAATACGCCGGACAGTCTCAACTTAGATCTCAACTTTCCAGCTCATCCTTCTCATCACCAGGAGGAAAAGATCCTCATTCAAGAATCACTCAAGTCATATAAATGTGTCCTGGTTAAAAAATAGTTATAATAATTACCTTATTGCTGCTGAGCATTGCAGACTAGTTAAAATAAATCTAATAAGATTTGATCACATTAGTTAACTCTGATTTTGTTCAGAAGGTTTAAAATAGATTTTACTCTGAAAACACCTAAACAGTGTTGCCATGAAAGTTTTGAAAGGGAACTATAAACACATGTTGAACTTTGGGGCTCATATTTGTCACCTTCAGAGTATTATATGTCATCATTATGTCATCTTGTGATTTATGAAAATAATATGTTATAGCTGGTGGAAACCATGAACAATACTGGTAATAGTCAGTAACCCTACTAAAACCTTTTTTTTAACCATCTGACGTGGCATCTGTGGGCAGGGGAGAAATGGGACAAAGTACTTTTATTAACTTCTGCATTTACAAAAGTTGAGTTTGTGCAATACCCACATAGTGTTTAAGATTTTTACTAATGCTCATTTTTCCTTATCTGAAAAAAATGGCTGCGCCTCTCGAGGCCGGCGGCCTCAGTCACCTCCGTCTCCCCGTGACTGGGTTTTTTTTTTTTTATGTTTCTCTCGGACGGGCTGTACTGAAATGTAATTTCGCTGCGCTTTGGTACAATGACAATAAAGCTGATTCTGATTCTGATTTATCGTGAAATCAACAGCAGGAATAATTTTCTAAATGAATCAGATCTGCAGCTGTCCACATAAAGCACCACTTTTCTATGAACAAAACATCGTTCATACATTTTTAAAGGATTTTTAGTCTGTACAAAAAGATGGAACATTTAGACATTTAAAAATGACAGTATTTTAATATTCATTGCCCTCTTTTTGAACAAACACAACAACATGGTTCGATGAGTTTAGAAGAACTTGACTGGCCTTTATATGACCTTAACCTCTTTGAGATGAACTGGAACAAAGATCTTCTCCTCTGACCTTCTCAGCTCATCAGTTCCTGACCTTGTAAATGTTCTACAAAATGCATGTGCACAGCTTCCCACAAAAGCATTCCAAAATGTTGCAAAAAGCTTTCCAAGAATAGTGGAGGCTGTTATTGCTGAAAAGGCAAACCAACTCAATCCCTGTTGGTATGGTCTGCAGGTTTAACACTTACAGTGTCATTTTTCACTTGGTTACACAGTATGTCTGAATGAGCCAGCTTTAAGTAAATCAAAGGCTGATGCCCCCTGTGATTCTGGCCCTGCAAACTATATATATTATGTATGGTATATATATATATATATATATATATATATATAT